CTGCTGGACAATGTGGGACACATCAGATACATCTCTACAAAGTTAACTGATGCGAAAAACATCATGCAAATTAGACAAATGTGGAGGTAAAGCAAGCTGATACGCCACAAGTCCGACCCTCTTTATTATCTGGTAGGGCCTTATGAACCTAGGACTCAACTTCCTCACACCTAGAGCGCGCCCAAACCTGTAGTCGGAGACAAACTAATAAACACATGATCGCCTTCACAAAATTCAAGGGATTTATGTTTCACATCATAATAACTCTTTTGGCGGCTCTGCGCTTTCTTTAATCGATCCTTAATTATAGTAATATGATCAGTAGTCTCTTGGACCATATCAGGCCCAAATAACTGTCCCTCACCAATTTCTGACCAACAAGCAGGCGCTCTGCACCTGCTCTAAGGCACAAGCCCTCAACATGTCCTCTAGAGTCTGAATGGTCTTCTCTGTCTGACCATCAGTCTGGGGATGATAAGTTGTACTTAATCTCAGCTGCGTACCAAACGCCTGCTGCAATGCTCCCCAAAATCGAGAAGTGAACTTAGGGTCCCGATCATTAATGATGCTTTTTGGAACTCCATGAAGTTTCACATCTCTTTTACATACAATCGAGCCAACTTCTCAGTAGAGAAACTCATCTTGACTAGAATGAAATGTGCAGACTTAACCAATCTTTCTACCACAACTCATATAAAATCAAAACCAGCCTGAGTTCTTGGCAATGTTACTACAAAATCCATAGAAATACTGACCCACTTCCATTCCGGAATATTCAAGGATTGCAGTAATCAGAGGGCTTCTCATTCTCAAACTTATATTCGTCATTTTATTTCTTTAAGCTCATTTAAGTTCACTTTTATTTACTGAGAAACAGTATTAACAATTCACAGTTGAGTTTCTGCACCGTTCTTAACGAAATGCACTGTGAATTACTAACTGTGCACTGTTTGCACGCAAAATCGTAAAACTTTTAAACTTAATCATTATTGGTCTAAACATGACTTATTTAGCATATAGTGGACTTCCATATACTTATTACATCAATCTTCTTACTGATAATACCCTTTCCTTTCTAATTGTGAATCAGTCTTCTCACTAAAAATATAATTCCACTAAAACATCAGTGTATCAGCCTTTCTACTGATAATATAATTCACAATTTATTGTACATCAGTCCTTGCACTGATAATACAATTTACAATTTCATTGTACATCAGTCCTTCCACTGATAATACAATTTACAATTTCATTGTACATCAGTCCTTACACTGATAATACAATTTACAAATTCTACTGGCCATAGAAACTGCACTCTATGAATTACACAAGGAATCTCCTTGATACATACCAAATGCAAGACATAACATCATAACTAATACTCTGGTTAACTATTCAAGGGCTTTCCCCAAGAATAGCTAAATGACATGTCTCACATGCTTAGTGTGACTCCCAAGATCAAGCCATAGGCAATCAACACAAACTGTAGTTTGAAAAGAACTCCCAGGGTCAAAGCCATAGGCAGTCAACACAAACTTTAGTACGAAAATAACTCTCAGGGTCAAGCCATAGGCAGTCTACATACCAAGGTCACTAGCAAGGATTCTCATAACATACATCATCAGTGCATCATTATAACATCAAAAATCATATAATATCTATATGAATGTGAATGAATGCACATATACAACATATCAAACACTTATTCATAAGCTGAGCAATATCTTTCTTCCTACCAGACCACCAGAAACTTGGTTTCATGGCCTGATACATCTTGGTAACAATATGATGGATAATGTACTTTCACTAATGTATAGGTAATAATATGGCTATATTAAAACTTTGTCTGCCTAGCCTCACTTCATTTTCATCTTTATCTATTTTTCTGACCCAAGGTCATGTATAACAACATCAAACGGTCCCCAATTATATTTATCTGTCATCTCTTGAATATTTTAACTCACACTTTCTTTAGTACTTCAATCCTTTCGCTGCCACTACTATTTCAACAATACCCCAATATACCCGTCTTTTCCATTAATGTTACTAGTCTTACCATTTCGTTGCTGCCTTAGCTTTCACACAAGCATATACCTTCTAGTTTCAATGACACTCTACAGTACCCTATAATTTCAACTCACATTAAATTCTATATTTATACACTTTACTTTACTTTGTCACATGTCTTCACCTCTTCTTAGATAATCACAACTATATTTTTCTCTTTATGATACGAAACTAACAACCTTCATAATAGTTTATAACTCCAATTAGCCATTTAAGGCCTTCAACCACAAACCCATTCATGAAATTTTCCACCTACAACGTCATTTCAATAATTTTAACCTATTGTTCGTCTATCTATCGAATTAGCCATCTCCAAGTCTAACCACAAAATCTATCAATGACTTCCACATCAAAGGTCTTATGCCTAAGCTTTTCACCAACTAACCATTTTTTTCTCATCATTTTGTACCAATATTGTAGATTCTACATATATTTCATTCATTTATACCTCAATTTCCTCATCATCGACATTTTTCTCATGGATGTCCATCTCAACTACTATATCGTAATCCTCACATATAATTCTCCTCGCATTGGTAATTCCCAAACGTAATCGTTTTATCACCTGGAACTACTTTCATCCTTAACAATTTTCTAAAATTTTATGAATACTGTGTATCTCCAAAGGATATATCTCTCTCACCTAGCATGTGTCACATACCGTGCTCCAAGTCACTCCATCGAGTTATCAACCTTTCTTCAATCACCACAATTTAAGTTACTGATCCTTATTAGACATTTTTACCTAGTTTCATCACAACTAACTTCTTACGAAAGGCCATCAGGCCACCATCTTAATTGCACATTTCTTCCTCATTAGTCCCTTCTAACATAACATTCACTCAATTCATCAGTATTAACAAATCACTATCCTTTCTCATAGGGTAGAATCCCCAATCAACTTCACAATTTCCGTGAAATCCAAAATCCATGTCACTACACTTGGTACATACACACACTCCCACATCCCCAAGTGCTCAGAAATCATACCTCAAAATACCTTCTCGTGACGCCTCACATATTATATCTCATTTGATATATTACTGTTAACTTAAAATTACCTGATATCATATTTTGCGTTTTTTACACGACACAATCCCTGTTGCGCTTTTACATAAGGCATCTCACCTGTACTAGCAGTCACATCGACGCAGGATACTCCCTTGTATCATATTCCTCATATAACATAATAATAGTCTCTGGGAACATAATCCGCACAGAGATAACAAAATTCTCCGGGAACATAATCCATACAGAGATAAAAAAAAGTCTCTGGGAACATAATCCGCACGGAGATAGCCATACACTCCGGGCACATAAGCCGCACAAAGATAGTAATATCAAGTCATATAATGTGCACCCAGTACACAAGAGAATTCATATTTGTAACATATCCGTATATAACGGCACAACATGTACCCAGTACACTCCAGATCACACATGGACCCAGTCCATTTGGTGTCTGTATCATATCCATATATAACGGCAAAATGTGTTTGGTATATTCACATGGGGCTACCCCCAATAATAATAATAATAGTATTAGTAGTATAATATAAACATATTACATATAGGTAAATTCATTATAACTTCCTAGTTTAATTCTCCCCATCGATAGTTTACTTTCATTTTGGTTAACCCTCAGACCTGTTTTATAACATCGTCACTATTACAAGAATTCATATTCTCCTCATAATTTTGTACATATTTCCTAACTCTTAATAGTTCCTTCTATCATGTTACAGTTCAAATCCATTGTCCATTATTTCTTGCTCGTTACTCCCCTTGGCGGTTGTAGAATATCCATCACGTTTCAACACCGTCACTCCATTTATCGATTCTTTAATACGTTACGAGGAATACCATCATTTACTGGTTCACGCAATTCGCCCACAGAGGCCATCCAGTAGGTTCCACTTCCAACAATGTCCTCCTGGGACTTCCAAGAGTTATACCTCTTAGGATTCAATCCCCAAAGGGAAGCCCAGAACAATTTCACGGTCACAACATCTGTGTACCGGCACTCAAGTTCACTCGAGGTATATACATATATATACTGGCGCTTACGCCATCACAGGACCAGTGTCCATTTACCCTTCCAAGACGTAGACTGACAATCAGTCCATTAAGCATAACCCACCTATCCTTTACGAATATCCTTTGTCATTTAAGTTTACCTAGTGGCACATAAGCCTATTTAACGGCCCGTAGGCCAAATATGTTTCTAGACATAGATTTAATGGGTACTTCCAAGGGTATCCTTTAACTATAATTCTACTCTTTGGTCCACACTACTTGACAATCCACACAGTGCATTGCTACTGGGAAAGTCCCATCCCCACTACCCGGAGGCCCTATCTATTTGTACAAATACTATACCACATCTTATTATTTCCTCCTACTTCCATATCAGTTATCAACTTATTTCTCAAGCACACTACTTTTAGTACTATAAATACCCACCACTAGATCCTAATTTCTTACGTCATTCTCATGACTATTTTACATATGATTATACAATTCAACAATCCTATCCATTTATCACTGACAAGTCTGTCAATTTGAATCGACATCCATTAACTACAATAGTGCCTTCATTGTACATTTATCTTATGCCATCCATGGCGATTCTCTCAACTTCTTCCTTATACGCATAATGCATACTTAATTCATCTCACCTATATTTAATCAACACTACCTCCTTATGGATTTAACTTCCATATTTCACTATATATCAAATTAGTTCCAAAATGGAGGAAGACATATTACAAACATCTTGATTTCCATGTGAAAATTGATGAATAAGATGTTGGACAAATAACTCTAATGGGGGGATGAATAGAATTATCAATTTTTTCACAATGAATCCTAGATCATGCAAAATCCTAAGCAATAAGCAATCAATGAAACAACCATACAAGTAGAAACCACAACTACTAATAAAAGAATAACATAAATGCCTTTTACAACTCAATCGAATTGCCTACAACTACTTAAAATGATTACAAAACCAAAATTAATACACGAAAATGGAATCAAGAACTTGTCTTCAACAATCTTCTTGATTTGCTTCATTTTCATTTTGCTTTTCGTTTGTTATGCTTGCTGCACTAAGATGTTCTTGATGTCTCCAACTGCTTCTCAAAGGTTTGAAGATGATGTAATGGTCCCTTCTTGCTCTAGCTTACGAATTCTTACACAAAACTTAAACAAACATCAAACGTATGGCAAGAATACTCTAAACTTTAAATTCTAATGGTATAAGAAACTTAGAATAATTTTTATATCAAGGTTACAAAGGAAAAACAATACCTATACCACATGATAAAGGTTGCTTCAATTAGGTTCAAGTAGAAAATTTACACTTGGTTATGCATTAGTTAAATTGATGATCAAACTAGGATTCCAATGCAACACACAACTAATTCTAGGTCAATATATGGTTTAGTTATGTCAATATTACAATCTCACAATTTTTTTCAAAGTTGACACAAAGACTAATTTACACAAGATATCAAAATGTCACAATTGCTTGTACAATAAATCAAAGTATCAACACACAAAAATTGTAGAATTCAAATTAATGTGTTTTCGAGTATAGTGTTATTTTTGTCCAAGAAAGTTTGTCCTAAGTTGGTTTTTAGTCAAGATTAGGTCCTCTAATCTATTAGAGACTTAAGTGATAAATTTATGAAAGTTTTCTAAGTCCAATAGTCCACAACTCCTTTGCCAAGGTCTTAATTAGATTCAACTAGGTTATGTTGTTTTTACCAATGGCACTTGATGAACTTTTCTATGTAACTCAATCAATTCAACCCCAAATTAAGTCAAGCAAATTTCTCTAGTCTCCCGAGATAATAAATAATCCAAATGTATCAAGATCAATATTTAAAATAGACACCCAAAGAATTTAAACTAAACTGGCCGAAGCTATATATGTAGGATAGGTTTTCCTTTTAGATGTACTACCCAATCTTTTACCAATTTAAATCAAGATCCAGTTTCAAGTATGCTTATATTGAATTCTTCATGTTTGTGGGGCGGTGGGGCAGTGACAACTGTTGGTGGCTGTTGGTGGTGTTTCTTATGCTCACAATTGTGGAGTGAGGTTAGAAGTTTACCTTTCTACAAACAACGCCAATGTTCGATCATGTGGATCGAGATGTCCAATCAGAGATTGATATATGTTTCTGTAGGATCAGAATGGTCTCTCTAATATCTATGGGGGATGTATCTTAGAGGGTAACAAATCATTGTACACTATGAAAAACAACATAGCCAAAGTGTGTGTACAGTGACAACTAAGAGAGTGGGTTAAAAAATGCACACGTGTAGGCTTAACCTCTTATTTATAGAGAGTTTACTTGGTAGTAGTGGAATTCTAGATCTCTTACGAATGTTGAGGCCCCAATACTTGATTTTATGAGGACATGATGAGATTCATATTTTCTCGAGATTCTTTTCTTATTTCACTCTAGTTATGGATCCTTACTGAGCTCTTAAGAGTATGGAACCATAAGTTGGATCCATAACACATGGCATAGCCATTAACAAGTCTACTGCCATTCATGCTACTCTGTATATGATCCTTTATGGTAAGTCACCATCTATCCATATTTATGTTTTGCTAGGGAAATCTGCTTGTGGACAAGAGTTTATAGAAGACGAAAAAGATGATTCAGTTGCTTAAATTTCATCTTCCAAGGCCTCAAAACAGAATGGCTCGGTTGGCAAATAAAAGATGAAGTGCGAGAGTTTTTGTTGTGAGAGATTTGCTCGATCTGATCAAGCTACAACCATACAAATAAACCTTTCTTTCCCGCGAAACTATTCACAAGTTAGCTTCTAGTATTGTCAGCATCGAGTTTCTAGATTTTAACCCTTGAGGACAAAGGTCATCTCAAGGGAGGGTATTGTTATAATACTATAGATAGTCCAACTTTCATTCAATTTTCACACTTATTGGACAACATCATACATTTTATTTTTTAATTCTGTTAGCTATTTGGTGGAAACTACTGAGCGGTAATAGAAATTGTTATTTTACTTACAAAATAATGGCTGGGATCAAAATAGATTGGGAAGGATGCACTGATGACAAGCATAATAATCTATTTAACATGTAAGGTTGATTGAATCAAATGATATAAGTAACAATTTAGGATATGGAAAATATTTATAAAAAAGTCAAAATTGATTTCCAAGTGAAAGAAAGCACATGTTTGGTTTGCCGTTCTATTACAAGACAATATTATTATTATTTTTTTACAAAGCTCTCTCGTAAAGTTGTTAAAAAAAAAGTAAATACTATTTTAAGTCCCTAACAAAAAACACGATTCCGTCCCTTAAAAAAAAAATTAGTCTCGAAATCCCTAAGAAATTCAAAGTGGACCCATTTAGTTGAAATCATGGTCCTTCACAAATTCAAAAAGACCCATATTAGTCCCTCAAAATGACTAAAATGGGTCCACTTTGAATTTTATAGAGACCAGACGACTAATTTTTTTTTGTAAGGAACTAAAGTGGAGATCGAATTTTTTGTTAGGGACCAAAAAAAGTATTTACTCTTAAAAAAAACTTTTATGGCCACTACATAAACCAATCCAAACACTCACTAAAATACAATTCATACATATTTTTTCCATTATAATTTTTTACCACTCCTACAATATAAAAAGAGGATCTATATATCTCATGTTACATGAGATAATTATCCCATGCAACATAGACAAGATAGTGGGGTCAACTACTTAAAAAAAAAAGATCGTGGACCCCACTCTCTTATCTCTGTTGCATGAAATAATTATTTTCCGAAAAAAGTGTGTATCATTTTAAAGGATGTAAAGTTGTGTCATTTTAAATGAGAGAAATAGATAGAAAAAGGAGAAGAGAGAGTGGATAAAAAAATATAAAGGTGTGGGTCCCACCTCTTTGTGAGAGTGAAATAACATAAATTGTGTCATTTAAAAGAGGACAAATACTTTTCCCTTATTTCCCATATAAAAATGAGGTTAAAGCTATTTTTCGCTCTTTATCACAACACTAAGTGAAAATCAAAATATTTTTATTTCACTCTAGCTTTTATTCTTTTCTATTTATTTTTCACATTTTCCTACGAAACGCAAGGACAAAATGGTCGGAAAACAAGTAATCTAATATTGGGTCCAAAAATATAATCTTGCTGCAACTGCAAGACATGCAGGTAGTATTGTTAGAGATCATGCTTTAGAAACTGCAATTTGATATTTTTAATTATTTAGGAGTCAGTTTTCATTTCTGTTTTAATGAGTTGTTATGTAGTGAGCAGTTTTCTTTTCTACTTTGATGGGAAGTTATGTAGTTGTGAGCAGTTTGTTTTTATTATTTTGCTTTATAAGATGTATTGTCATGCATCAATAATATTAGTACTTCATTTCTCAATTCTATTTTTCATCTCTAAAACCAACAACTGGTATCAGAGCTATCTTCCTAACGGATCTGTGTGTTAATTTGAGGCGCCATGGAAACTGAAGCGAATCTTGCGTCAATTGCTCCGCCAGTGTTTGAGGGGGAAAACTACCCAATTTGGGAGGCATACTTGGAGGCATTGGATCTTTGGGAAGCAGTGGAAAAGGACTATGAAATTCTGCCTCTTCCAGCTAATCCCACCATGACACAAATCAAAGTGCAGAAGGAGAAGAAAATGAGGAAGTCAAAAGCAAAAGCCTGTTTGTTCGCTGCAGTTTCACCCACTATTTTCACTCGTATCATGACTTTGAAGTCAACAAAGGAGATATGGGATTATCTCAAGGCTGAATACAAGGGAGATGAACGCATTCGAGGAATGCAGGTGCTGAATCTAGTTCGTGACTTCGAGATGCAAAAGATGAAGAATGATGAATCTATTAAGGAGTATTCTGAGAGGCTTCTTAGTATAGCAAGCCGGATCAGATTGCTGGGCTATTCTTTTCTAGAGTTAAGAATTGTTGAAAAGATCCTTGTAACTGTTCCTGAAAAATTTGAGGCAACAATTACAGCCTTAGAGAATACTAAGGATATGTCAAGTATCACTCTTGCTGAATTGTTGAATTCTTTGCAAGCACAAGAGCAAAGAAGATCCATGAGGCAAGGTGTCATTGAAGGAGCTCTACCTGCAAAATATCATGAAGCTGATAAAAATAAGAAAGTGCAAGAAGGTAATTCTGGTTCTTTTTCTTCAAGTAGCAGGAATGGAAATTCCAAGGGGAAATATCCTCCTTGTCATCATTGTGGGAAGAAAGGTCACCCTCCTTTCAAATGTTGGAGGAGGCCAGATGCAAAATGCTCCAAATGCGGTCAATTTGGGCATGAGGCAGTGGTATGCAGAAATAAGAATCAAATGCAGGAGGTAGATGCTCAAGTTGTTGATGAAGAAGAGGAGGATCAACTGTTCGTAGCCACTTGCTTCTCCAGCAATGAATCTAGTGAGAGCTGGCTGATTGACAGTGGGTGTACAAACCACATGACTCATGATCGAAGTCTTTTTAAGGAGTTAAAATCCACACCAATCACAAAAGTCAGAATCAGTAATGGTGACCACATTTTGGTAAAGGGAATAGGAACTGTTTCTATCCTAACAAATTCAGGTACAAAGTCAATCTCAGATGTTCTTTTTGTACCTGATATTGATCAAAATCTGTTAAGTGTTGGACAACTCATTGAAAAAGGACTCAAAGTGCTTTTCGTAGATAGAGTTTGTCTCATTCAAGATGCAAATGGAAAGGAAATCATCAAAGCAAAAATGAGAGGCAAGAGTTTCTTATTTGAACCAGTCAAGGAGGAGCAAGTTGCTATTTTCACAGAGGAGAATGTGACTGAGACTTGGCACAAGAGACTAGGCCATTGTCACCTCTCAAATATTTGTTGATGAAGAAGAAGGAGCTGTCAAATGATTTACCAACCTTTGCAGATCATTTACCAAATTGTAATGCCTGTCAATTTGGCAAACAAAAAAGAAATCCATTTCCTAAGTCAAGTTGGAGAGCCTCCAATAAGCTGCAGTTGATCCACTCAGATGTTGCTGGTCCTCAAAGAACTCAATCACTTGCAGGTAGTCGTTACTATGTTATTTTCATAGATGATTTTAGCAGAATGTGTTGGATTTTTTTTTCATGAAGCATAAATCAGAAGTGGCTAGCCTATTTTGGAAGTTCAAGAAAACGGTGGAGAACCAGAGTGGTTGTAGCATTCAATGCATTAGGACTGACAATGGAAAGGAGTATACTTCAGATCAATTTAATATTTTTTGTGAAGAATCTGACATTGAACACCAACTCACTGCTCCATACACTCCGCAACAAAATGGAGTAAGTGAGCGAAGAAGCAGGTACATAATGGAAATGACTCGATGTATGCTTCACGAAAAAGAGTTGCCAAAGAATTTATGGGCTGAGGCAGCAAGCACTGCTGTCTTCTTGCAAAACAGACTGTCTACAAAGGCATTGGAGGACAAAACTCCATTTGAGGCATGGTATGGCTATAAACCTTCACTCAATTTCCTTAGAGTGTTCGGTTGTGTGTGTTTCTCTCATATTCCACAGGTAAAGCGTGATAAGCTTGACCAAAAGTCAGAACCAGGAATCTTTGTTGGCTATAGCTCTTCCTCCAAAGCCTACAAAGTGTATCAACCTCAAACTGGAAAGATACTTGTCAGTAAGGATGTTTATTTTCATGAAAATGAGAAGTGGAACTAGACACAAGTATAAGAGGCATCCATGAGTAAGCAGAAATCAAGTCCTCTCATCCAAATAAGCAAAGAGAAAGGAGTGGAACAGTGGCAAGAAGAGTTAGAAGATGACCCACCAATTCATGGAACAAGGTTGCTGTCCAATATTTTTCAAAGATGCAATGTAGCCATTTGTGAGCCTGCAGGATATAAAAAAGTTGTTCAAGACTAGAATTGGAAGAAGAGTTGTTAATGATAAAAAAGAATAAAACTTGGGAGCTTGTTGACAAACCGAAGGATAGAGCAGTTATTGGAGTAAAGTGGGTGTTTATAACCAAGTTAAATGCAGATGGCTCCATCAACAAGTACAAGGCTAGACTTGTAGTCAAAGGACATGCACAAATTTTTGGTGTTGATTATTCTGAAACTTTTGCACCTGTGACTAGAATAGACACTATTCGACTCTTGCTAGCTGTTGCTGCTCAAAAAGGCTAGAAAGTGTTTCAACTAGATGTAAAATCTGCATTCTTGAATGGTATTTTGCAAGAGGAGATCTATGTTGAACAACCCGAAGGATTTGTGAAAGAAGGTGAGGACGAGAAGGTTTACCTGCTCAAGAAAGCTCTATATGGCTTGAAACAAGCACCTAGAGCATGGTATAGCAAGATAGATGAGCATCTATCAAGCTTAGGATTCAAGAAAAGCACTTCAGAAGCTACTCTGTATATAAAGCACGAAGATGATGATCTGTTTATAGTCTCTCTTTATGTTGATGATCTCTTAATCACAGGTGGCAATGACAAGCTTGTTGAAAAGTTCAAAAGAGAAATGATGCAAATTTTTGAAATGACAGACCTTGGACTCATGACATACTTTTTGGGAATGGAGATTAAGCAGTCAGAAGATGAAGTTTTCATATGTCAAAAGAAGTATGCCACGAAAATTCTCAAGAAATTTCATTTGGAGGATTGCAAGGCAATGACCACTCCAATGAATCAAAAGGAGAGCTTAAGCAAAGATGATGGAGCTAACAGAGTTGAAGAAGGCTGTTTTCGAAGTCTGATTGGTTGTCTAATGTACCTCACAGTATCAAGACCAGGCATTTTATTTTCTGTAAGTCTTTTATCTTGTTTTATGCATTGTGCTACTGAGATGCATTTAAGAGCAGCAAAAAGAGTAGTGAGATACATCAAAGGAACGATTGATTTTGGTGTGAAATTTAAGAAAAGTCAAGACTTTAAGCTATTGGAATTTTCTGACAGTGATTGAGGAGGTTCTGTGGATGATATGAAAAGTACCTCTGGTTATTGTTTCAGTCTTGACTCAGGAATTTTCTCATGGTGCTCTGAAAAGCAAGATGTTGTAGCATAGTCCACAGCAGAAGCGAAATTCATAGCTGCTATGGCAACAACTAATCAAGCAATTTGGTTAAGAAAATTTTTATGTGATTTAAACCTGAAGCAATGAAACAATACTGAAGTTCATATTGATAACCAAGCAGCAATTGCCAATTCTAACAATCCAGTTTTTCATGGGAAGACCAAACATTCTAAGATCAAGTTTTTCTTCTTAAGGGAAGTTCAGAAAGAAGGTGAAATTGTATTTGTCTACTGCAAGTCAGAAGACCAATGGGCAGATATATTCACAAAGCCATTACCTACAAGAAAATTTGAAAATCTAAGGGAGAAGATTGGTGTTTGCAGCTCCAAAAGCAAGGAGGCGTGTTAGAGATCATGCTTTAGAAACTGCAATTTGATATTTTTAATTATTTAGGAGTCAATTTTCATTTCTGTTTTAATGAGTTATTATGTAGTGGGCAGTTTGCTTTTCTGCTTTAATGAGTAGTTATGTAGTGAGCAATTTTCTTTTTCTACTTTGATGGGAAGTTATGTAGTTGTGAGCAGTTTCTTTTTATTATTTTGCTATATAAGATGTATTGTCATGCATCAATAATATTAGTACTTCATTTCTCAATTCTATTTTTCATCTCTAAAGCCAACAAGTATAGCAGAAAGTTGTAGATTGTATTTTGTTATATTAAAGGAAGGAATATCATTGGTTACAAAAAGAATTATAAGAAAAAGCCAGTTAATTAAGTTTCTAGTTGTATTTAAAATGAAAAAAGAAAAACTTCTGAAACTTTTAATTCTTTTTAACAGTCATTTGTATCGCAAAATTTGTATTCCGAGACTTGGATTGGGAAAGAAGAAGAAGACGACTCTTCAGTGTCATGAACATGTTTTAATTATTATTATTATTATTATTTTAAATACCAACCGATTTCGAAAGTCCCGACAAATCTGACTAAACCAATTCAACTACAATTTAGACAGGTCAAATATTGGAATCATATCCAAGGTTTTTAGCACTTGAGGAATCTGATTTTACTGACGTGTTGGAATAGCCATTTTTCACTTTCTTTTAGAAAAACAGATTAAGCTTTTTTAATTTGCCAATGGTCATCAAAGAAATTAAAGAAGAAACACGTAATCAAGGAATTACATCATGAAATCAATATATATATATAACCTGACTAGATGTACTCATCAAGATTGGTCTAATAAATTTTCCAAATATAAATTTACCAAGTATCTTCCTGTGGACAAAACATCTAGTCTCTTCTCGCTTGGTTCATATTTTCCCTTCCGAAGCTGATAGCGATGTGTTACAGCTGAAATAGTATAAGCTTGTCCTTCTATCGTTACACTTTCCCCACATTGCAAGTTCTGCTTAGAAAAAAAAAAAAAAAATTTGTAAATGTCGCATGTTTCTGTTTCCATTCTCACAATGTTATGTTGGATCATATCACCAAAAGAAAAAAGTAATGTTGGATCACCAGTATGCATAATTTTTCAAAAATTGACAACATGACAATGATGGTTTATTAAACAGGACATGTAAAGTTCAACTGAAGAATCTATCACAGCTTCTTAACCAAAGAGCTTGTTTCAATTCCTCATCTCATATGGACCCATCTGCCATCCCATATAATGTGTTTCCATTAAAAAAATGAGAAATAATAGATCCAAAAGAAGCAACCACAATTAATATACTAAAATTTCATCATCCTTTTATTTATTTTTTTATTTTTTATTTTATTTTTTTTGGGGTTTTGAGCTCTAACATGTGCATTGTCTTCAATTATATGCCTGTCTGCCTCTTAGAAATGATTGCTTCCCCCATCCACATGTTCTCATATAGAATAAGATATGCTAGACCTATATAATATTCGACTTTATTCTTCCCATCTGCAAAGGTTAATTTCAAGAAAGCATGTCAAGAATTTGCAATGTTCCTTTTAAAGCATCCTTTCATAGGGACATATAATCCTCCAAAGCACTAACAGACCCCTTTTCGAGAGAGAAGCAAATTCAGATCCAATAAGCAGGACAAGGGCTGACCATAGAAGCCACACACATTCATGGCTTTTACACTTCAATGAATAGTTTCCATCGCATTAATGTTTACTTGGCTGCAAAATTGTTTCAGAAAAGGAAGGGAAACTTGCACTAAAGCTCTCTATTTTAGAATAGCAAGCCAAAAGTATGCAATATTTCTTTTAAATTAGCCTTTGACAGAGACATGTATGATGTATCCATGAATGCAGAAATAATCCCTTTTTAAGATTGACAGATGCAAATGCCCATACAATAAGGTGGCCAATGATTCAGCATAGGAAGTAAATATAGCGACAGTTTTTCCTCTTCAATCTCACAAATTAGTGTTTACTTCAGTTCAACTTATTTCAATAAGGGAAGGGAACCTAACTCGCAGTTAAGCTTCCAATAGCAACTTGTCTAAATCTCAACCTTTTCATGACCTAAAATGGGAATCCTTAGATGTGATTCCAGTCAACAATCAGGGTAACTGATGTAAGAATCTCCCTAGTTAAACTTCAATAATGAGTTGATGATAACATATAACTGTTAACATGCTTTCAGAAATAGTTGAGATCGCCAAATTATGCAAATCTGTTAGATAGTTGCATGTTTATTCATTCTTGTCTTGTAACTATCATCCAGGAGTTCTCATGAACTTTTAAATTTTCTGTGTGTTATACCTTCTTACTCTTCTGTAAGGGTGCACATAATCTCTTATGCATGTAAAAATCCACATTAAGAACTTAATTCTACAGTGTATATCAGACTTTGAGTACATCAAGAATTATGTATAAGAAAATATGTACTCCACTTGGACAATTTCATTCTCGAAGCTTTTCATATCAAATGGACAAAAATTGTTGGCGATTACTATGGCACCGTAGAGTTTTGTACTGCTGGCTTTACTTTGATGAAGTTTTAAGGTCCAAAAAGTTTCATTGGTGCAAAAGATAATGTAGCAATCAAGACTCATCATGATTCCCTTATCCTAATTGCTTATTATTTGATTTTTTTTTTTTTTTTTTTATATTTAATGTTTAAATAATCTTATTAGCCATTATCTTATGAGTGTTATTAGTTTCTATTTCAAATTTGAATTTTCTTTTCAGTGCGCACATAATAAAAAGAAGAAGAAAATAATTCAAGTTTCTTCCTAATGTCTTAATAACCTACTTAATTCTCTTTCCCGAATCTCTCTATCTATCCCAACACATACAAACTTGAAGGTCGCTGATGTTCATCAAATAGTCTTTTATGTTAGTCCATCCATTAAAGCAAAGGCATTCTTTATAAGGAAAGCCATGGTTACATCATCACTGGAAAACATTGATCTTATTTCGTTAATAAGTTGGTACTTGTAAGCCTTTATATAGACCATCAAGGTTGTCCACTGATTGCATTTTAATTGTAACATTTCAGTTGGTGACGAGGGCGGGCACTGATCACCGGTGCATAGAAAAAGCACAAATAAGGAGCAACTCCCGGTAGGCTTCCAGTGAGAGGGATACATGAATGAATCGAATCAAACACCCGAACGAGAGGGATCCAGAGGCTGTGCAGGTATGGACTGTATAGTTGATGATAGTTTAAAAAAATTAATTGGTACTACCTATATTAACAAAATGCATCTACTTTTCGAGAGCCCATAACATAAGAATTCTATTGTTAAGCGTACTTAACTTGAAGCAACTCTAGGATGAGTGACTTCCTGGGAAGTTTCTCAAGAAATGTGTGAGTGAGGACAAAACATGTTGAAATAGAAAAGTTTGGCAACACATCTATTATATAATTAAGATTGATATGAACATCACCTTTACCCCAAACTAATTGGATTCGGTCAATAAACAGAAATAAAAAAGTAAAAAAAGATCGAGGGAATAGATAAGAGAGAAATAAATAAATAAAAATAATGATGATCTTATATATATTTTTGATTAAAATAGTCGGATCTAATATTATTCATGATTTCTATTTTTCTCTTTTTCCTTCTAACCCCAAAGATAAAACTCTAGTTACTCTAATTTATAGATATAAGAGAATGTTGAAAATACGGTCATTACTACGATTCTTTATGACATGAACACTATTAGAAATCTTGAACCTGAGCAGCCCCAAACACACAAATTTTCTCAGCAGCAGAAATTTGAAAACAACTTTTTTCCCCGTTAGCCAATACAAACCCCCAATAAATCAGCTTTGGGCCTGTGTTGAGATATATAGTCGCACATTGGTTGTATGAGAAACTAATGTGGCCTTTATAAGGCCTTGGGCACTCCCACCCTTTGAGCTAGCTTTTGGGGTGGTGTATCTCAAGGTTCTTTACATGGTATCAGAGCTTGAGTGACCATAAGTTCACGAGTTCGATCCTCACGTCCCCCCACTTTCAAGTGGAATAAAAAATAAAAAGCACAAAAAGATAATTGGGCCTGTGCAATTCCATGCTTCTAGCACAAAGGGCTCTTGCGTGAGGGGGTGTGTTGAGATATATAGTCCCACATTAATTGTATGAGAAACTAATGGGGGTGTGTTGAGATATATAGTCTCACATTGGTTGTATGAGAAACTAATGTGGCATTTATAAGACCTTAGGCACTCCCACCCTTTGAACTAACTTTTGGGATGGTATATCCCAAAGTTCTTTACCGCCTGGATCATTAGTACTCTCCAGTTTAGTCACAACTTTACTTGAAAATGAGATATATCCACCACAATCCCCTAATCCTGAATAAAGGTACTAATACAAAAGATCAAGCATAGTCTTGTATCTCCTCAGGCTCTAATATCATGACTTCTCCAAAGCCAATAAAACTGCTGGAAATTCAAGTGTTGAAGTCCCACTTTAGTTAGATATAGATCAAGTGAGAATCATATATCTTGACTTCTCCAAAGTCAATCTCTGCCTTCCCTTCTACTCCAGACTCATCTCCATGAAAGCAATTCATAACCAAGGATTCCAATTCTAATTTCTAAATAATAAATTCTTGAGATTGAAGCTTTCGGATTCATTTAAAAAAAAAAAAAAAAAAAAAACACAGCGCAAAATGAATGGCAGTAAATTGGGCACTCACGGGTGGAAAGCAACGAACGCCAAGATTCCTGGGTGGAGGAGTTATCTCAACCACTTTATATGGGTGGATGCTACCTCGTTCTCTGTCTCTGTCTCTCTTCCTGCTGCAAAAAACCTCAAACGACGTCGTCTGCTAAAATATAAGGAAGAGCGTGAAAACAAGTACTAAAGGCAATAACCAAATGGAAAACTCTATGTACCAAAAAAAAAAAAAAAAAAAAAAAAATGGAAAACTCCAGAGAGCAGTTGAAGATGACACCTTCTGGTATGAACCAACGGCTATGTTACACGACGCCATTGCCATCCTCCAATTCCCTTTTTACTGTGTTCTCTACACAATTATCACTTGTTTCCTGATATCAGTTGGTTTGCGAAGGTAGGAACAATTCTCTCTCCACAGGCGAAACGGCAACCGCAAAGCCAGAAAAATTTCCAGATTTTTTTTTTTTTTTAATGGTGGGAGTGGGGCAATTGTCTCAAATTACTCCGAGCTGTTTTTGTCGTTTTTGACCGAGAAACAAAATGGTTTTTCCTATAAAACACAATTATGTTGATATCTTATGCACTTTTAAATGACTGTAAATATTTAAAAATAGCTATTTCGTTTGTTTAATACGTTTACAGATAAAATGTGGATGAGATTCATTTTGTTTTATTTAATGGATCTCATCCATTTTTTGGGTGGTGAGATATACAGTTTCACATTGGTTGTATGAGCAACTAATGTGAAGTTTATAAGAATTAAGGCACTCCCACCATTTGAGCTAGCTTTTGGAGTGGTGTATCCCAAGGTTCTTAACATAGTATCAGAGCCTCACCGTCCCCAACTTTAAAGTGGAATTAAAATAAAAAGGATAAAAAGATAAACCAAAAATTGGGCCTGTGCAATTCCACGCTTCTAGCCCAAAGGGCTCTTGCGTGAGGGGGCGTGTTGAGATATATAGTCTCACATTGATTATGTGGACAACTAATATGACCTTTATAAGGCCTTGGGCACTCCCACCCTTTGAGCTAACTTTTGAGAAGAACCTTGTGATACACCACCCCAAAAGCTAGCTCAAAGGGTGAGAGTGCCCAAGGCCTTATAAAGGCCGTATTAGTTGCCCATCCAATCAATGTGGGACTATATATCTCAACACGCCCCCTCACGCAAGAGCCTTTTTAGGCTAGAAGCGTAGAAATTGCACAGGCCCATTTTTGGTTTACCTTTTGTGCTTTTGTTTTTATTTTAATTGCTTTTGTTTTTATTTTAATTCCACTTTTTTAAGCGGGGGACGGTGAGGCTCTCATACCAAGTAAAGAACCTTGGGATACAACACTCCAAAAGTTAGCTCAAAGGGTGGGAGTGACCAAGGCCTTATAAAGGCCACATTAGTTGCCCACATAATCAATGTGGGACTATATATCTCAACATGCCCCCTTACGCAAGAGCCCTTTGGGCAAGAAGCGTGAAATTGCACAGGCCCAATTTTTGGTTTACCTGTTTTGTGCTTTTTTTATTTTAATTTCACTTGAAAGTGGGATGCGGTGAGGATAGAACTCACTCAAGTGAGATACCATGTTAAGAACCTTGCGGTCACCACCCCAAAAGCTAGCTCAGAGGGTGGGAGTGCTCAAAACCTTATAAACTCCACATTAGTTGCTCATACAATCAATGTGAGACTATATATCTCAACACGCCCCCTCACGCAAGAGCCCTTTGGGCTAGGGGCGTGGAATTGCATAGGCCCAATTTTTGGTTTACCTTTTGTGCTTTTTTATTTTATTTTAATTCCACTTTAAAGTGGGAGGCAGTGAGGCTCTGATACCATGTAAAGAACCTTGGGATACACCACCCCAAAAGCTAGCTCAAGGGGTGGGAGTGCCCAAGGCCTTATAAAGGCCATATTAGTTGCCCATCCAATCAATGTGGGACTATATATCTCAACACGCCCCCTCACCCAAGAGACCTTTGGGCTAGAAGCGTGAAATTGCACGGGCCCAATTTTTGGTTTACCTTTTTGTGCTTTTTATTTTAATTCCACTTGAAAGTGGGAGGCGGTGAGGATCGAACATGTGACCTTATAGTCACTTAAGCTCTGATACCATGTAAAGAACCTTGAGGTCACCACCCCAAAAGCTAGCTCAAGGGGTGGGAGTGCCCAAGTCCTTATAAACTTCACATTGTTAAAGAACCTTGGGATACACCACCCTAAAAGCTAGCTCAAAGGGTGTGAGTGCCCAAGACCTTATAAACTCCACATTAGTTGCTTATCTAACCAATGTGGGACTATATATCTCAACACGCCCCCTCACGCAAGAGCCCTTTGGGCTAGAAGCGTGGAATTGCACAGGCCCAATTTTTGGTTTACCTTTTTGTGCTTTTTATTTTTATTTTAATTTCACTTTAAAGTGGGGGACGGTGAGGCTCTGATACCATGTTAAAGAACTTTGGGATACACCACCCCAAAAGCTAGCTATATATATATTATGTTATAAGAAATAAAATTAGAAAAAATATTTGTCATTTTAAATGACATAAAGTTATGTCATTCTAAGTGAGAGATAGACACAAAATAATTTTTTTATTTAAAATTTAAATTATGAAAACTACCCACTTTCTCCCCCATAATCTTCATTCCGTGTGTCTATCTCTCTCTTAAAATTACATAACTTATGTTATTTAAAATGACAAACATCAAATTCACAAAAATTATATCGTATATATAAAAATATGTTGGGCGTATTGTCATTTTGTTTAAAACCCGAATTACCATATTTTTTTTATCCATTATTGGAATAGGGGTTTACACTACGTATAATCAATCTTCATTTCAGTTAATTTTAATTTTTCAATTTTCCGTCTTATGGTAATAAGGGTACTTGTATGGCTTACCTTCCTCACCTAATCATGCACAACTTCTCACGTAATAAAAATCCTTCCTCATCATCTAATTGCTTTCACTACTGATTTGAAGGAAGTTATGACATGCAATTAAAATGGTTTTCTTCAGTATTGTAAAACCCGGCCCGACCCGGCTGGGTCGACCCGGAACCCGATGACCCGGTCACTAGACCAGTTCGGGTCAAGTGTTGGAACGGTCATGCATCGACCCGGTCAAAACTCGGACAAACCCGGTGACCCGGCGACCCGGTCGGGTCATGCATTTAAAAAAAAACCAAATTGTTTCATCTTATAAAAAAAATGTAAAACTCATTTTAAAAACTTTTTGTAATTTTATTTGCTAGTATACTTTTCTACAATGACCTCTTAGTTTCCAATACTGAAGTAATTTGTGGAATAATAAATCAGAGAATGTGACATATGTAATTTTAATGTAGTTGAATTTGAAAACTATGAGTTCAATGTCATTGAGAGGTATGTTTAAGGGGATTCTGAGTTGCAATTTAAATTGACATGGTAATAACATGCACTTTTATTTATTTATGCTTCATGTTTTTTAGCTTATTTAGTGAACCTTGTTTAATTCATTTTAGATATGGAGAATATAATTGAATTTATATGTTCATATTTATATATATCGTTATATGTTTATATATATCCGGGTCAACCGGTCCGACCAGTGAATATGTGGAATTTTGGGACTATCCTAAGACTAAGTGAATATGTGGAATTTTGTGGGGATTTGTTGAACAAAGAACCACCCACTCATGACTTAATATGATTAAGTAAAAAGAAAATAAACAATAAAGTGTGTGTCTTGTATATTTACATGGCATTATATCATTTTATTGAGTTTTGTGTTGAATTCCTTCTCTAGGTGTGCCTAGGGACTGTGAACGTTTGGATTCTCGTGGAGCAAGAAAAGTAGCTTGTTCTTCAAGTAAGCAAATCGTAAAGCTCCAAGAGGTAAGCTCTATGTTTATGGGGTTCACTCCTACTTTGTGTTCCGCCATAGTGTACGGACTGTGGTCAGGTTGTATAATATGTATGAGATATATGATATAGATGCATTCATATAGAGCTATATGATAATATGATATGTTTTATTCTGATGTGTTTACTTTGATATGTGTTAATATGATATGTTTTGTTGAGTTCCGCTTGGGGTCCACCCTTGAGAACACGTACACTGATTTCCACTTGGGGTCCTCCCCTGGGATTGACTGAGAACACATTTGTTATATGACTTGTTCTGATATGATTTCTGTATTGATCTTTGGCCATGGATTTTATAGTACACAGATGTCTTCTTGGGTTCCCCTGAGATTGACGGTGTACGTCTCTGATATGTTCTGGTTCCGCTTGGGGTCCTCCCTTGGGAACACGTGTGTTGATTTCCGCTTGAGGTCCTCCCTTGGGAATGATTGCGTACGCCTCTGATATGTTCTGGTTCCGCTTGGGGTCCTCCCTTGGGAACACGTGCGTTGATTTTTGCTTGGGGTCCTCCCTTGGGAATGACTGCGTACACCTCTGATAAGATCTGTATATATGTTTTACTCAGTGAAGATATGTTTTGGTTGGGGTCATCCCTAGAGATTGACTGTGTACATATCTGATATATTTTTGTTTCCGCTTGGGATACTCCCTTGGGAACACGTACGTTGATTTCCGCTTGGGGTCATCCCTTGGGAATAACTGCGTACGTTTCTGATAAGATATGTGTATATGTTTTGTTTAGTTATGATATTTGATTATATAACATGTTTTATGGGATATGTATGATGATTTTGTAAATGATATTTGCTACGTACGTTGATTTCCGCTTGGGGTCATCCCTTGGGAACGATTGCGTACGTCTCTGATATAACACGTTTTGTTCTGATGTCAGTATTGTGATGATTTTTGTAAATGATATTTGTTACGTGCGTTGATTTCCGCTTGGAGTCATCCCTTGGGAATGACTGCGTATGTTTTTGATAAGATACGTATATATGCTTTGTTTAGTTATGATAATTGCTTATATGATGTTTTGTATATTATGTATCTGACTGTCATGCAGGAAGTGACCCCAGGGTATAGAGAGTTTTCCATAAACCTGGAGTTTACTAGAGATTCATCTCTAACCCCGTTTGGGGATATGATTTCAGGAACACAGTTAATTGAAGAGCCTCATGGGACAAGGACACTAACCGTGGCTAGAGGTACTAGTATGAGGATGTGGAGTTCTGGGTGACCGAAGGCTACTATTTGTTCTAGACGTATTTTTGGAAAAGATGTATTGTTGCATAGTGTTCATATTCGATACATGTACATTTATGTATTCAGACATGATGATATGACTATGTAGTATTCAGTTATGTTATGTATTGGATTGCATGCTATTAGATTAGTGGCACGGAGCCAGGTTCTGCATGCGACCATAGATGGGTATCTGAGTATATTTGCATGACTGGTACTACTGGAGATATATATTGTTTAAACTGTCTATCAGGAACTCTTGGGAGTGGGATTGGAAAATCCCCAGTTGTCCGATTTACAGAGGTTACTCTGTCCGATTTTCGTCTTCGTCGAATAAGAATTAAACTAGGAGAAGTGTGCAATGTGATATGTCATGTGAA